GGGGGGGCATCAAACCTGGGGGGAAGATGAATGGCCTCCCCAGCGGATCATCCAATATTATGGCCCAGCTACTTGGGCTCAAGATGGGAGTTGGGGATACCGTACCCCCATTTCATGCTCAACCGTATTATCAGGTTACAGGCTATTCTAGAAATAATTACCAATGAAACTGCAACAGCTTTAGAGCTCCTTGCTACCCAACAGACCCAGATGCGGGCTGCTATTTATCAAAAGCGCCTAGCACTGGACTACTTACTAGCTGAAGAAGGTGGTGTCTGTGGCAAATTTAATCAGTCGGACTGTTTTCTACAGATTGACGACAGTGGCAAAGCTGTCTCCACTATTGCCACGAATATTAGAAAGCTTGTCCATGTCCCAGTCAAAAATGGTCAGGATGGGACCCCGAGAGCCTATTTGGAGGATGGTTCTCCACCTTCGGGGGATTTAAAATGTTAATTGGAATCGTCCTCCTGCTCCTTGGGGCATGCCTCCTTTTACCCTGCATTCTCCCCCTTGTCATTCGCTCTACCTCTTCCCTCATAGAGGCCATTGTAGAACGTAAGATTGCCGCTAAGGTCCTCATTTTATGGAAGTACCAACCCCTAGGCCAGCAGCCTGTCTAAGGAGATGATGCTTTCTAACCCACACATGGGTTCGAGCATTAAAGGGGGGAGTGTGGCAGTGGGCCTTAGACAAAGGCTTTCCCAGACCATGTGGTCACTAAGGATTTGACGCGGGCTTCAGGCAAAGACATTCCTGGACTGTATGGTCAGCAAGACTTCCGCATTTAATATTTCCAAATTCCTACCTCACCCAGGAGCCAGTCAGGAACTGGCACAGTGGCCACATGTTCTAATAATAAATCTTAGCTGCCAACCTGGAAACTTCAGGGTATATAACCCCAAGTCCCACTCGGGTTGGGGCTCAGCCTCTGGATATAAATCCACTGAGCCGGTGCCAGCATTAATAAAAGTTGCTTCCCACGCCTTGGTGTCCTGTCTCTTTGTCTGGGTTCCCCGTAACATTATCATTGCGCTCTTCCCAGCTGAGGCAGTTACTTGCTGGCCATTGGATGGCCGCTCATGGCAGCTCTCGGCAGCTCATGAAAGTGCACGCCAGCTGCTGGCTAGCCCCACTGCAGCCTATGCTGTCTCTGCGACTCACTGCAGCCCAGCTCCAGGTCGAGCTGTTGTTCAGCATCTTAGCTGTAGAGGGCGCAGTGTCACTGGCCCATATGGGATCCTAACTGGGGCGCTGCTGCTCAGAGCTGGCGTTCCCAAGCCATCTGCTAACCAACACGCCGCTCTGGCGGCCCTAAACAGTGTTTTTTATTTTAGTGGTTCATGAGCTTTACAGAAAGGGCATCGTGTTATAAGTGATCTTCTGAGGCTGACCTTTTCACTCCTGTTATGCCGCTAAGATTCACCCGTACTGTTGTATGTGGCTGTGCTTCTCCCAATGCATTGCTGTCGAGTGGTCACAGGAGACTACCCCATGTGTGTTCATTCTCCTTTAATAGTGATTTTGATTGTCTGACTCTTTTCAACCATATGAACAGTCTTGAAACATCACGAAGATTTCATCATCCCAAACTGCAGACCAGGAGCTACTCCCTCCTCAGCCTTCAAGGCCGCAGAGCCCATGTGTCTGGCCTCTCAGCCATGGAGGCCGCTCTGCTGGGCTCCTTACCTTCCTGCTGTCAGCCCCGCTCTGGCGGACTCACGAGCAAGGACACGGCAGCCCCTGTGTGCTGCAGCTCCTTCTTCTCCAAGCGACTACAGGACACAGGGTCATCTCACAGTTGAAGACAGCGTGTCGGTGGTCAGGTCCTTTCTTCCTTTTTCTCAACGTGCATTAAGCTTCGGTAGTTGAGCCATGGACTGTGCTAGGTGCAGGAGAAATAGAAGAACTAGATAGATTACAAAGCAGACATTTATTCACTTCCTTTAATGTGCAAACTCTGCTAGTCTGGGACCACAAACCAAGGGACCTGCTCTCAAGCTGCTCCTGGTTTAGATGGGAAAACAGGGATTTACTCGTAGACACAGGTGTGCAAGTCTCATCATGATTGTACCAGGATTTTATAAATCTAAGTGTTTTTAGTCATATATTTTTATATGTCTATGCTTGTATGTATCTATATATCTATCTACCTATTTATCTAGCAAATGTGATTTTACTTATGTAAATTCGACACCCTCTATCCTGGAATAGAATAGGAAACCAGATACTGGTTGGTGGGTTATCATTTTTCTAGATCATAAAGTTCCTGAACTAATATTCTTTTTTCAGTTCTTCTAGTTGGGGCCACCTAAAAGTTCCCACACAGAGATAGGAACAGCTTTTAGCTGCTCTTTTGATTCTCTCCAAGACCTTATCTTCTTTCTTTCAGTTGCTGGTGGACCAAAACATCACTGCATCTCTTGGGAAGTTAACACTGAGCTTGACCCTAATGCGAGAGCAATGCCTGCACTGTTGTTGAGCCATGGTTACATTCACAGTGGAAATGCTGGGAAACTCACCCAGATTCCATCTCTGACCAGCAACGTGGCTTGCTGCTGTTGCTTTAATTAAGAATACCTATGGCAATGGAATTGTAATAGGTAAGTATGTAATCGGGGGTGGGAGGGCAGTAGATGGGGGAGAGGAGTTGTTTCTGTGTGAAGGGTGAAGAGGATAACTATTGCATTGTTCTGTACACCTGAAACTAACAATAAAAAAAAGAAAAGAAAGCCAGAATAAAAATTAAAACTCATGACATTGTATAAAATAAATAAATAAATAAAATTAAACAGCTATTTTGAAAAAATAAATGAAGTAAAATAAATAAATAAATAAATAAAAAAGAACGCCTATGGAAGTGACACTGGAGTCTGTTGTAATGTCTTGGGCTGCCCAGTTCAGCCCCTTCAAGAAGGTGGCATCGGCTTATGCAGACACCAGTTCAGCACAGTGGGCAGGGCACAGTGATGCAGGCTCCCTCCTCACCGCCAGGGCAGCGCGGCTCTAGCTCTGCTTGGGTAGGGAGCGTGGCGGGGAACAGGGTGGCACAGCAGCGGAGGCTTGAAGAACCAGCTGGCATGAGGCAGGAAGAGGAGTGGGAGCTGGACTTCTAGGCCAAAGGAACACATGCAAAGGCGCAGAGACTGACAGGACGCAGTGCCCCCAGGGGCAATTTGCAGTGGCTCTGTTGTGGGCCAATGGAGCCCCCCCACCCCCACTGAAAGACTTTTAAATCTTTTTTTCCTATAGAAATGTTAAGTTTTCTCCCTAGTTCCTTAGTTTCTTAGCTCTTGGCTTTGATTACTTTTCTAACCAGTTTGTGAATCCGAAAGATTGCTCCTAGCCTGAATCCTAGAATTCTCCTATCCCCCTCCTTCTTGATTGTTTTGTAAATCAGTTTCTGAATCCTAAACAATAGATTGTTCCTACCCTTGCTTCAGATAACTACTTGAAAGCCTGTGACTTCCTAATATTCCCCAGGCCAGTAAGCTAAATGCCAAACTCGTTCTAGGCCCAGACAACTGAGTGACAGGCTGAATGGACACAGGTTTCATAAGAGCTAACAGAGTTATTAATTAAAATCTATTTTTCCTCATTCAGGGACCTTGGGGATACAGATGACACCACAGCAAGATTACCAGTCACAACCAAAGAAGCCAAAATGGTCTTCCAGGTGGATCTCGAGACCTCTTCCTCTCATCTGAGATCAGATAGGATGAGAGTTCCATGAACCCCCAGTAGGCAGGGACAGCTCTATGCCCCTGCCCAGCAGGAAGCAGATACAGAAGAAAAGACCTCCTGTCCCCCAGCTTTCCATAGAGATTTTATGGTGATCACATCTCTCAAAGGGGAAGTTAGAGGCAGGCATTGGGTCTCTGCATTCCTGCACGTCTCACAGGATGTGACCGCCCAGAGGACCTCCCTTCTCCTCCCAAAACTCCCTTTTGTATTGTAATTACCGACCCCTGCGGGAAAACAAATGGGCACAAACTACCCAACTATATAGATCAGACCAGTCACTTGCACCTGCGCAGTACCTCTTGTCAATCATAGGTGCCAATCAAGTGGTCCCATGCCTAAAGGAGAACAGCCCATTCTAGAGAAAAAGGGATAAAAACTCAAAATCCTGGGAAGTCTGCCCTTTTTACTTCTTCCCTTTTTTTAGTCCCCTCCTCCCTTTTTGAGCCTTTTGAGCCTCGCTTTTGTGCATGGCACGCTCCAAACTCTTTGGAATGTAATTTCTCTTCTCATGATGGGTCCTTGAGCCATCCTCTAGCGCTCAGGCCCACTTCTACTTTTTTAAAGTGTACTATCTTTTCTAATAAACTGCTTTTCCATTATTTTGCCTCGTTATCTCATTCAATTCTTTGCTCGAGTTGCCAAGGACCTGGACTTCGTGCCGAGAAGGGCCCACTCTCCGACAACAGCTAGCACAGTGAGTCACTCAGGGAACGAGATATATGCGTGTGGTGGCCTTACCTGTGCTAGGAAGACTTCTGGCTCTCCACGTTCTAGGTACGTTGCTCTTCAGCAGTTAGGGAAAGGTGGCAGGGGCGTTACATGGCAGCGCAAAATGGATTTTTTCAATTGTAATAATACATATGTAACATATATATATATATATATATATATATAAAATGAAGTTTACTATTTTTAAGTGGATAGTCAATGGCACTAAGTACATTCACAATGTTGTGTAACTATCACCTCTATTTCAAGAATGTTTTTGGGCTGGCTGAGTGGTGCGTTGGTTAAGAGCTGGCCTGGGACGCCAGAGGGCCCCGGTTCGGATCCCACATATGAGGGCCAGTGACACCGGCCTCTACAGCTAAGATGCTGAACAACAGCTCGACCTGGAGCTGGTCTGCTGTGAGTCGCTGGTAATGGTGTAGGCTGCTGCAGTGGGCTGCCATGGGCTACCGTGAGT